AGCGTTTTGTCCCAAGACAATCCGGGGTCACATGGCCAGTGTGATTTAGACACGGAACGCTGTTTACCTTCCCACCGAGGTGGTCCCTATTTATCTACTCGCATTTGCATGCTTTCAAACCGCTAGGTTGGCGGGATTCTCAATATAGTTTAACCAATAATTGTTTTTCTTTTAAAAGCCAGTTTATAGGTTTTTTATACACCCACACACATATAAGAATAATACCTTTAAAGCATGGTCCAGATGTCTGCTTGAGGAAAAACTGGCACCGTGGAAGCCGAACTAAATGAGGGCTCAGGTACTCAAAAGGTCAAAAAGATAAGGTTGGCTATGACATTCAGGTGTGTGTGTGTGTTACAATTTAAGAAAAAAAATTGGTGGGGGCCTGCTCTTTTTTTGAAGTCGGCAATGTTTTGATTTCGACATGCCCCAGTACATCTATATTGATGGATCTATGAACATACCATTGAAGACTGATAAGCAAGTTCAGTCTCTCTCTCATTGTTGTTTACTCTAGTCCTGTTCCACTTCACTGGCGAGCAAGAGCTGATGCATAGCTCTTGATCTCTAGGAAGGGTTGAACTAGGCTGCATAGCCACCTGCGCCCCCATGTTGTTATCTTTCTGCGAAGGGCATTCCAAAGGCAAAGTCAGGCCCTGGCCTGTTGCAAGCAAACAGTGCTTGAGGCAAGCTGAATTCTCCAAGCGCTGGTGGTGCTGGTGGTGTCAAGATAGAGATCTCGTGAAGAACGGACCCACAATCCTGAAATAACCCTATAAACCATATCTGTATTTTTCAGCTTGTGCTTTCTTTTTGATCTTAGCACATAGCACGACAGGAAAAGCCTTTCCTAACACATCCCTGTCCAAATGGGATGAGCGATAGTGGCCATCCTCCAAGTTGTCTGGGGATGATGGGGAATGGTAGTTTAGTACAGCTTTGAAACATGGTGTTCTGGGAGATTTCTGTTTTAACCTTTGAACTCCAGAGCTAGAAGGAACTATGTAGATCATCAAGTCCAGCCCCAAGCACAGCGGGAAATGGACTCCCAGCCTCTGGCTCCGCAGCCAGAGACCTAAACCACTGTGGTGTTGTTATGTGCTATCAAGTTACCTCTGACTTATGATGACCCTATGAATGAGCCATCTCCAAAATGCCCTGTCTTCAACATCTCTGCTCAGCAATTCCAAACTCAACCCTGTGGTTTCCTTCTGGGAGTCAATCCATCTTGCATTGGATCTTCCTCTTTTCCTGCTGCCTTCAGTCTTTCTCAGCATCATCGACTTTTCCAGAGAACCCTGCTTTTTCATGATGTGCCTGAAGCAGGACAGCCCAGGTATCATCATTTTTGCTGCGAGAGATAGATCAGGTTTGATTTGCTCCAGAACCCACCTGTTTTGTCTTCCTGGCAGTCCAGTGTGTCTGCAAAGTTCTTCTCCAGCATCATGTTTCAAACAAATCAAATAAGTATCTACTGGGAAGAATGATTTGTTGTTTTCACAATAAATCTCTTGAGTGGAAGAGGGAGAGAGGGAGAATATGTAGGACAGTGGTTCTCAGCCTTGGATCCCCAGATGTTCTTGGCCTACAACTCCTAGAAGTCTTGGCAAGCACAGCTAGTGGTGAAAGCTTCTTATTTATTTACTTATTAGATTTTTACCCTGCCCCTCTAAACAATGTCTACTCGGGGCGGCTTATATAGATAAAAGCGCATTAATATAACAAAAATAAAATCACAAAAAATACAGTTATAACAATTCTGGGAGTTTTAGTCAAGGAACATCTGGAGACTGATGATTGACAACTACAGGTGTAAGAGCAGAGAGATGGGAAGGGGAATATTTGGGGAAAAACCCTACCCCCCCTCTGGCCCCACCCACCACAGGCTTCAATTGAACCCTCAGTCTATACACAATCCTAGGCAAAATGCCCTCAAAGAAAGACCGATCTCAAGAGGGGACGAAAGCTTTTCCAGCCCTTCAGTCTGTCAACAACCCCACATTTGTTGACCATGTAAACAATACAGTCACTTACCCACTGACTGGATCAAAGTTGGATAGTTTTGTTTTTTTTTTAGTTCTGGTTACTTTCCCCATCTCATTTCCGTATATAAAAGCTATCAGAGTGGCACTGTGAGGCTTAATAAACCTGTTAATTTGGAAGGGGATTTAAAAAGGCTTTTTTAAAAAAAAAGGATTATAAAGCAGTGGGTAGATACTCCGAGGCGTCTTTGATTCCTTTGTTTCTGTAGAAACATTTCTATCATCCCAAAAATACATGCATGTTTTGCCATTTTAAAAATCCCAGCAGTTTCCCTACCAAGGAAATTAGATCAGTGAGAAGAAATGGAAAAAGTAAAATCAACA